TTCTCATTTAACTGCTACAAAAAGTCGCCCTTCAATGTTCTGGGGAGGAACATTTTTGATTAAGCAGAAGACATTTCCAGAATGTTCTTATTATTACATTAACAAATAATTGGGAATCAAACACCAAATTATTTGCTGGGGAGCCCTGAAACACTGATATTTCATGCAATTCATTTTTATCCACAAGATGGCAGTAAAACAGAGCAATAATATTACTTTGATGCCATTGATTAAGGCAGGGGTCTTAAACTCAATTTCTGGAGGACCACAGCTCTGCACAGTTTAGCTCCAACCACCTCCAACTCACACCTGCTTAATAGTCTCTAGAATTCTTGAACATCTTGATTAGATGGATCAGCTGTGTTTGATAAGGGTTGGAGCAAAACTGCAGAGCTGCGGCCCTCCAGGAATCGAGTTTGAGATCTATGGATTAGTGGATTGAAAATAATGATTAATTCATCAAGGGAGACAATCCTTAAACTGTGAATCCTAAAAAAAGGTTTTAATACATTTCAATTAATTTAAGAAAAAAAGATTCAACAGTTTTCTCAAAACATTTCCTACATCACAGTTCCTCCGATACAAGCCTTCATTATTAATTTCTGAGAAATAAAGTTGGACAAAGGGGTTAGTGAACACCGACAACTGTAGAGCTATTAAATCTGGTAAACCATTTTCAGCTTTCTATATCAAAAGAACAGACAAGTTTTAGTTTTGGAGAGGAAAAAACAAAAGACATACAATGAATTGTTTTTACTAACATTCTTAAGAATTGTATTTGGAAAAGAATCAGTAATCAAATGACAATTAGCTTCATTCAATTAATGAGAAATTTTTAAAATCATGTTTTAGTTATTAGAAAAGTCATTATCACAACATGCCATGTAAGTAAAATGTACAATTTCAACAACACAGCTAGACACCATTTTGAGGGATGTAAACAAAAACAATGGTCCCAACATGTTGCCTCTTTTACATTTTTAATTCCTAGAGCTTCCGAGAATACAAAAAAAGGAACATACTGATGAATTATGTTATAATAGCTGTTTTAACATTAAGTTATGATTGAATTGATTCTTGTCACAGTTATTACATAGTTTGATAAGAAGCAGGAAATGTTCATAGGCCAATGACATGACCACATTGAAATGGTCCATAGAATAATATTCATGAAAACATTGTTCTTCAAGTGTGTCATTATATTTTTTTTTTACATTCATTCAACAGAAGTTTTAGAAAACATACACATGCCAGACAGTGTAATTATCATGTGTTGTTACTAGAGAACTCTGCTTCATCTTAATTATTAAAATAATAATAACAATAACCCCAACAAACATACGCATGGCTATCACAGCAATAAACAATGGGAATGATAATGATAGAATGATTATTTTATTTATAACCGTTTCATAAGTTTGTAAAATGAAATAAAATTAAATAAAATATAAATAAAAAATAAAATAAATGTAAAAAATTTAATAGAATAAAATAAAACACCGAGTTATACAGCTTCTTTTTCAGTGTCTGATTCTTCCACCACATCATCATAATCTGCATTATAAAGAAAAAAGCACAAAAAAAGCTGTTCAGTGTTGTGATTGCATTACAATTATTCATTATCTTATATAGTTATTCAAACTTTAATCATAAACATGTTGCAACAATATTGTATTTTGAGAATTTAAATGGTAAAATTAATATTACACAACTATAGACCAAATCACTTGGGTCATTTCATATATTAGTAAAAATTAAAAATGAAAGATATTACAATATTTTATATTAAGTGTATTAATAATCATGAGACAAGATTTACCCAACAGGTTTCTCATATCTTCAGAGATACTCCATGCATCATCATACTCCCGACCTTCCTCTTTACAAGAAAAACAAAGGGAAACAATAATAAACAAATTCCTCATGAGTGTCTGAGACTAGCAGATTAAACACAATAAAACTATTATGATTAATTTTATTAGTATATGTTTAATATCTTAAAAATAAATGTCAATTGAAATTAAAAATGAAGTACTGCTTGACTCACCCGATTCACAATGAGAGCACTGTTCACTAATGATGACATCATCATAATTCTCGGGAGTGTTCACTACACACAAACAACATTATGAGCTTTCGGATATAACATTAAGATATTAAAATAACATTTTATCCAAACTAACCTTAAAAAATTATCACAAAAAAAAAAATCACCTTTATCAGCAGCACAGTTCTGCCCAATGGTAATGACATCATCATAGTCTTCTGGTTTGTCGTCTACAATTGCAACATTTAACCAATTTGATCAAGCGTTTAAAAAAATTTAAATACTGTATAGATTAACAAACTAATTGTGGAACAGCAGAGACAGAGAGAGAGAATTATAAACATAATAGAGAACTGGACAATGACCTGTCTCATCTGGTATTGGTACATTAATGGCGATGTCCTCATAGTCTGACGTGCCTGCATTCATCCGATCTTCAACATAAAAAATAATCATACAATAAATACATTTAAAGAATTGTAGAAAAAAACGCAGATCCCAAAGTGTTACTGTTTGATTAATCGAGCAATGAAATCACCTGATCAATTCATAAGACCAATTTCCTATAAGGCCGTTACTGTTCTAAACACTAGATCTGTTTGTAACACACTGCTCTTACCTGGTAGAAGTGCATCTCCATCTCCAAACCCAGAACGCTGTTCTTGAGAAATAAGACTCTCTGTTAAACAAAAGCAAAACAGAAACAAGAGTTTGGAAAAATTATTCATCATCAAAAAAAGATTAAATCCTCAATCATTTTATTCTTTTTATTTTTATTTTTTTGCTTTCCCTCGGAATCGACATCCTTAGCATTGCTTGTGTCATGTTCAACCTTTTGAGCTACAGGAAGGCTTTCAACGTGTCCCAAAAATTAATAAATGAAGAGATAGAGATTTATCTATTTACAAATGTGATCAGAATGATTTAAACATGTGCTGTAACACCAGTTTGAATGGTTTTATGCATGTACTCCACTATCTTAGGTGAGATTCCTATTCAAACAGAACGTAATCCATCTTATTCTTTGACATAAAAAAGAAAGGCCGTTGGAACCCTATTAGCTCGAGACTTCTGGTTTAATTAAATTCCATTGATTTTTATCCATACAAACATCGTTACACTGCTTGATGTACACAAAGTCTTTTAAATGTATTTTCATAAACAAATTAGTAATTAGTTTGAGCGTTTACTGCCATTTTTTATTCCTAGTCATTCCCCCATAAGCAAATTAATCAGAGGTTCTAAATAAATTACAGAAAACACAATAAGGTCGACACACTTAGAATAAAAAAACGCAAATGGTGGAGGGGGGATTTATCTGTCTGAGTGAATGAAAGGCTAGGAAAAGGAAGTGAGACCTTTTTTATTGAACACAATTAGGTTCGAATTTTGATTAAAAAGGTTGTGGTGCATAATACACTTCTAGATAGAAGCTTTTAACTTCCTTCTATGATCACTCACCTCTCAAGTCATTGTGTCTGTGGTAGATTTCCTCATAAACTGCCTCCGTTGGAGCCCTGTGTAGTCCAGTGTACCAGTCAGCAAGAGCTGTGAGTGTGACAAGACAAACCTGTGGTCAGTTCACTACACAAGACAATGACATTTGAGATCTCTGGATCTCTCCTACCTTTCCTCATGAGTCTGTTCTGCTGAATCAGTATAAGCAATGCCACTAAGAGCAGTACGAGCACAACTCCCAGTACAATCACAAGCACTGGGGGAACTGCGAGTGTTTCTGGACGTGTGTGTGAACAAGAGACTGATGTTGAGCTCACTATCTGAGACATTGGACCAGAAGGTGATGCTGATGTGGCAGGAGTAGTGGACACTGACAAATCTAAAACAAACAACAAACAGATTTAAACTCCTGCAAATAATTCAATAAATAACATTCCTTAGTGTTTTCAGTGACCTGCACAGGTGAGTCCAGCGTGCTCTTTGTGGGAGCAGTCAGTGTGGTTGTTCAGGGAGAGAGGACAGTCCCACAGGTGAAGCTCATTCCCTCTGCACTGGACTCTGTTCAGCCACACAACACCTTCACCAGCACCAAAGGCTGAATTCCCATCAGCCCACAGTGCATCTCCACAACCCAGCTGCCTGCAGACCACCTGAGCATCGCTGAAGTCCCAGAGATCATCACAGACTGAGCCCCACACAGCGTTATGATACACCTCCAGCCTCCCAGAGCACTGGTTGTGCCCTCCACGCAGTCTGAGAGGAACGTGAGCTAAAACACACACATCTCACACAAAAAGAAAGCAGAGTACTGTCACAACAGAGGCACCTACTGTATATAGGGGTCATAACGGTTACTTGTATGACCTTGCCCTGTATACAGCTCTCTTAATTTGTGTTTCTATGAAATACACTTACCAGAACATTGTCTTTGGTGAGCAGACGTGGAAATAGTAAGATAACTTCTGGAGGACGCAGGATTCTCCTTTTCTGTAATCATCAGATACAGTAATATATGCAATGTGTCTTTTTATATGTATGCTCAAAGTATTAAAGCAATATGACTGTATTGTGTAGTAAACAATATTCAATAATTTTACCTGAGCAGGTAACTTTGGCCACTTCATCTGTATTACAGTCATTTTGTCCCCAAATTGAAGACGGACATTGCAAAAGATGTGAATCATGTGATCGACATGTTACTTTGTCCAGCCAGTTAGGAGCTGATTTCAGTCTTGATGTAGAAACAGACAAAACACCAGATCTTCCACAGTTCAGCTCTTGACAAATAATACTCACTGTGTCTATTTCCATCTGATTCCAGCACACATTTCCCCAGGATCCATTGTAGAAAACCTCCACATTCCCTTCACAGCCTTCAGTTAATCTGATCTCTTTAAACGCTGGATGGAAACATAAGATAATTTAAAACCAAACATTTGTTTTATACACTGGATATTACATAAACTGCATGTGAAGTATGTACTGTATTGTTTACCAGAGCAGACGACTCCTACATCCTCCTTGTGTTGACAGTCATGTTTTCCCCAGCCTGGAGAAGAGCAGCTCCACAGGGACGTCTCATTCCCCTCACAATCCACCTCATCCAGCCATATGGGTCCAGAACCAGGACCAAACCAGGCTGGTACCTGCTGGTTACTGAGGGCCACTCCACACTGCAGCTGTCTGCACACCACATGGGCATCTTTAATATCCCAGGAGTCGTCACACACTGTCCCCCATGAGCCGCTGTGAAAAACCTCCAGCCTCCCTGCACAGTCTCCCCCAGAACCCACCAGCCTGATGGACCCGCGGCCTGATATTCAGAGAAAGAGAAACACATTATTGATCAGGAACAACTCCAGAATCTGCCCAGATGTTGTTGTTCTCACCAAGGCAGGTGATTGACAGCTGTTGTGTGGAGCTGCAGTTGAGAGTTTGTGGAGAGCTGCAGTTCCCCAGATGAGCTTCACTCCCAGAGCACTGGAAGCCCATCACACACTCATGACTGTGTTCAGAACTGGATGAAGAGGAGCCGGAGAAGTTGAGCACAGAGCCACAGCCCAGCTGTCTGCAGACCACAGAGGATTCAGTGAGACTCCAGGAGTCCAGCAGAACCTTCCTCCAGACCTGCTGGATCAGAACTTCCACCTGCCCCTCACACTGTCTCTCTCCAGACAACCGAACCAGACCCTCATGAAGAGCCAGAGACGAGTCTGAAGACAACATGAGGCAGTTTGTTAAGATATTACATGGAAATATATTTAATACATTATTAATAAAATGTCCTCACTAGAGCAGATGACTCCAACATCTCGTCTATGAGAGCGTTCAGCTCGACTCCATGAAGAGATTGAACATTCGGAGAGTTTTGTTTCATTCCCGTCACAATCAAACACATCAGCCCAGATTTCACCACTTCCCTCTCCAAACCAGTCTGATCCCACAACAGACACAGCAATCCCACAATTCAGCTGTTTACAGAGGACACTGGCAGCTCTCATATCCCAGCATGCATCACACACTGTGCCCCATTTACTCAGATACTGAAGCTCCACTCTTCCAGAACAAGAGTCTGAACCATTGACCAGTCGAACATCAGTGTAACCTGTGCAAATACATGTTGGCATTGTAAGGCCCTTTACAAAAATGTCTATCATACAACATGTAGACAGAGACATGCTTAAGTAATGAAAGAAGTGCCAAATAATACTTAACAATGAGACAAGTTTTGTACAGTAACACATTTAAGGACCCTGTGCAGTTTATCATTTCTTTACCTGAACATATTAGGCTTACTCTTCTGGCATTTGTGCAATTGTCTTTGTGTGATTGTGACATAGAACAGAATGAAATGTGAGTCTCGTCTCCTCTGCAGTGAATCTCTTGTGTCCACATCTGAGTGTCTCCTTTGTCAAAAGCAGCAGCTCTCAGCACCTGTACAGGAGCCCCACAGTCCAGCTCTCTACACACAACCTCTGCATCCTGCTGGTCAAAGGCAGCGTCACACACTGACATCCACGTCTGATCATGAAGAATCTCTAACCTCCCAGAGCACAGATGAGATCCGTCAATAAGTCTGGACTGTTTATGATCTGTTTGAATTATATTAATATTGTATAACACAGACAAAATCATTATCAACTATATATAGAGTGAAAATGTATGAATATGTTTTATTCAGCAGTCATAACAAAAGAAGTGCTTTGCAAAATTGTTATTTAATTAAATTTATGACATTTATCAGAAAAAAATATGCTATTGTCCGTCACCTGAGCAGATGACTCCAGCATCATCATTATGACCACAGGTGTGTTGGCCCCATCCTGCCGCTCCACAGCTTTTTAATGTAGATTCCATCCCATAACAACTTAAAGTACTCATCCAGACTGGTCCTGATCCTGGTCCAAAATGAGCATCACCCAGAGCATCTACAGGTTCTCCACAGTCCAGTTCTCTACACACCACTGCAGCATCAGCCAAATCCCAGTCATCCTCACACACTGTTCCCCACTGACCTCTATGGAAAACCTCCACTCTACCAGCACAGGGACTGTTGCCATCCACCAACCTCACATTCCTTGCATCTAAATGAATTTAATAAAAAAAGTATGTCAAGTAAAATAATATAATACATATTTCTATTATCTTCTCTCTAACTCCAGCTCTTACCCGCACAAATCAGTCTAACACTGTTGTTGTGAGTACAGTTGTTTTCATATAATGTTGATGTTGGACAGAGGTGAATCTGAGACTCATTTCCTCTGCAGTGAATCTCTTGTGTCCACATCTGAGCGTCAACTTTGTCAAAAGCAGCAGCTCTCAGCACCTGTACAGGAGCCCCACAGTCCAGCTCTCTACACACAACCTCTGCATCCTGCTGGTCAAAGGCAGCATCACACACTGACATCCACATCTGATCATGAAGGATCTCTAACCTCCCAGAGCAGCGAGAACCTCCAACCAGCCTGACCTCTAAACAAAATAATTTACAAATAATTTACTCGTTTTCAGCTTTTATTTTTTCTTAAAATACTGGTGTAATATTCAAAATAAATGTAAAAATAATATCACTTCAGGTTATGTTTTGAGCGGTTACCTGAGCAGATGATTCCAGCATCACCACTATGATCACAGTTATGTTTCTCCCATCCTGATGACCCACAGGTCTTCAGGGTAGATTCTGATCCAGTGCATAACACAACATCCATCCAGATTGGCCCTGTTCCTTGTCCAAAATGAGCACCACTCAGAGCATCTACAGGTTCTCCACAGTCCAGTTCTCTACACACCACTGCAGCATCTTTAAGATCCCAGTCAGCATCACACACTGTTCCCCACTGACCTCTATGAAAAACTTCCACTCGACCAGCACAGCGACTTGTACTATTTTTAAGTCTCACATTTACACTTTCTGGATAATAAAGAAAGAAAATGGAAGATGAGGTGACAGCAAGAATTAACTAGTAAGTGATTCCGGTTTGAACATGAATTTAAAAGTAGTTTCAACCTGCACACACAAGTTCTGTGTTGTCATGAGTACAGTTGTTTTTATGCGATGATGATGATGAAGTAAATGGACAAAGGTTTGTCTGAGACTCATTTCCTGTGCAGTGAATCTCTTGTGTCCACATCTGAGCGTCTCCTTTGTCAAAAGCAGCAGTTCTCAGCACCTGTACAGGAGCCCCACAGTCCAGCTCTCTACACACAACCTCTGCATCCTGCTGGTCAAAGGCAGCATCACACACTGACATCCACGTCTGATCATGAAGAATCTCTAACATCCCAGAGCAGTGAGAACCTCCAAAGAGTTTCACTTCTAAAGTAAGATCATTTAAATCAATTATTAATTGTAACAGAAAAATTTAAAACAAACTAGATACATAAACCAACCCCACATTTGTTAGAGTGTAGCCAATGCAGTACTGCAGCACTTTTTTGGGGAAACTTGCTGTGTGATTTTAAACCAGAGCTTAATTGGTCACACAGTCATGATTGAATCATGTTATATACACGTACTGAATCAAAAATTACAGTATATTCTCATGTTTAAATGTGTCTGTCACTCCTATTTTACAGCAAGTTATATATGCATGCAATGGTGTTTTCGCACTTATCTTATTGTGTGATTGTCTGAAGTTAGGCCTCCATATTGACAATCAAACCTTCTAGATCTCTATATAAACAAACACTAAACGTTTTGGACAGGAAACCAAGTAGACGGCACCATTGCAATATTTTACAAAATCATATAATCTGCTTAGTTTTGAAAATGTTTTTTAAAAAAGATTTTTAAATGTGTAAATCATCTTGCTCTATAAATATGCCAATTAATAACAAAATCAAGCAGTAGCAAGGGATTATCACAAGAAGCGTAACCAATCTAAACTGCATAATACCAAAAAAAAAAAAAAAACTAAATTTGCACAACATACATTTTTATTTTAGGGTACACTGCTTTGAAATAGCCTGCCGATTGAACTAAAAAGGCAAACAGATTTAAACAGATTTCAAAGAGAGTAAAAAAAGTAGTTTAAACTAAATCAGGTTTGTAAACACTGATTGTCATGCGTTTTTTATTTTTTTCTTGTCTTTTTTGTATTTGTAATGTATTTTTATATGTATATTATAAAGACATTTGTACTGTTTTAGTGTATAAAAAGTCTAACCAGGGAGTAAGGCTGCAAGTTAGTCACTGGCTAGAAGCCTGTATGTGGAGCATCGGCTGCTTTAAACTCTATCAATGTTATACTGTAAACTGTATCAATGTCCCTATTAAATAATCAAAAATAATAATGACAAAATAATCAAAGCAGCGTATTATTTGGGGATATACAGTACTGTATTTTAATTTATTTACATTAGTACAGTTTTAGAGAAAGTTACCTGAGCAGATGACTCCAGCTTCACCATTACGTTTACATGTGCTTGTACTCAATCCTGTTGATCCACAGTTCTTCAAAGTAGACTCTGATCCAGTACACACAACATAACTCATCCAGACTGGCCCTGATCCTGGTCCAAAGTGAGCATCACCCAGAGCATCTACAGGTTCTCCACAGCCCAGTTCTCTACACACCACTGCAGCATCAGCCATATCCCACTCATCTTCACACACTGTTCCCCACTGACCTCTATGAAGAACTTCCACTCGACCAGCACAGCGACTGGTACCATTTACAAGTCTTACATTCACACTTTCTAGATAATAGACAAATAAAATGAATTAAAGTGTTGAAATGATTCAGGTTTTAGTTGAATATGAAGTCAAAAGCAGTTTCAACCTGCACACATAAGTTCAGTATAGTTGTCATGAGAACAATTGATTTTATATAACGGTGACGTTGGACAGAGGTGAATCTGAGACTCATTTCCTGTGCAGTGAATCTCTTGTGTCCACATCTGAGCGTCTCCTTTGTCAAAAGCAGCAGCTCTCAGCACCTGTACAGGAGCCCCACAGTCCAGCTCTCTACACACAACCTCTGCATCCTGCTGGTCAAAGGCAGCGTCACACACTGACATCCACGTCTGATCATGAAGAATCTCTAACCTCCCAGAGCAGCGAGAATCACCAACCAGCCTGACCTCTAAAAGAACAAAGATCATTTAAACTTATCGTATAAGTAGATCATTATTATTATTAATTTATTATTTAGGGATGAGGAGAAGGTTACCTGAGCATATGACTCCAGCATCTTTACTATGATCACAGTTGTTTTTAGCCCATCCTGTGGAGCCACAGCTCTTCAGTGTTGACTCTGATCCAGTGCACATGGCGTAACTCATCCAGATTGGTCCTGATCCTTGTCCAAAATGAGCATCACCCAGTGCATCTACAGGTTCTCCACAGTCCAGTTCTCTACACACCACTGCAGCATCAGCCAAATCCCACCAATCATCACACACTGTTCCCCACTGACCTCTATGAAGAACTTCCACTCGACCGGCACAGCGACTGTTCCCATTTACAAGTCTCACATTCAGATGATCGTTTTGTGCAACATATAAATGACAAACTGAGAAAAAAATGAAAAAACAATGATTAAAGAACAGAACAAAAAAACAAAATAAACTTCTAGGAAGCATATTGATCATTTTACATAACATTTTGGCACAAAAAGGTTGAAATGAAATAATTTTATGCCCCAAATAAATATATAAACTTACCAGCGGTGATAATTTCCAAAAGCATAAGCATCAAACTCTTCATGATCTCCTTCTCCATGACACACGCCACCATATCATCAGCTCAAATGCAGCACAAGTTTCTTCTTTACAAGCCCCTTAAAGACAAGAGCTGTAAATCTTTCCAATCACGTTCATCATTACCTTATTAGACACAACAGAGGAAATCATCAAACAACCTCAGCGACAAATCAGAGCAGGCTTTCTTGATATTCACCAAATATATCAAAAGAACGTCAGCGCTGAAGATGACTGCTCCTCCTCTTCCATATCAAGGCACTTCCTTGAGGGCTCACACACACATACACATACACACACCTGCCAGAGGCAAAAATAGTCATTAATTATCATTTGAAGATTTCATAGAGAGGAAGTACTCCAGGATATTTACAGCATCAGAACCAAACACCTGCTGAGATATGCACTGATAAGAGAACACTTCATACTTTAAACTTGAAAAGTCATAAAGAAAACATAATCAAAAAAATGTTTGTCTTTAATTTAAAAGAAATAAATATTAAAATGTGCTTTAATATATAGTATATGTTAATGATAACTACAAAACATAACTTATAAAAGTGTACACATTTTAATTATTTTACTCTATCAGAATATTTTAAGTAAATGGCCTATTTTAACGCTTTATGCTATTAGAATTTTTTTAATAGCATTAATCAGTTTTAAACTATAAATAAAATTATTTAATTTATTATTTAACAGTTTAGCAGCCTATTGCTGAATGCGTAGAAGCTTTTGTTAGCCACAAGATGGCAGCAAAACATTACTTATTCTAAATATGGGGCGCCAGAGCATAGGTGGATCTTCCAGAAGAGGGCAACAAACACTGCAAATGAGTTGCTTAACATTTTGTTAATATGTTAAAACATTAAATAAATAAATAAATAAATAAATAAATAAATAAACATTCAATGCAGAAATATTTTGGCTTTACTTATAATGAAAACTCTGAATGATTTGGTTGAACGGACATTTTAATTACATTAAATTGTCTTGACAAAAAGCCAGAAATTAACCCAAATAATCATCAAAGCTATCCAAAAACATAATAGGCCTTTATGCTAGAATCATCGATGAGTGATGGAGAGATTTAAAATCTATTAACAACTATTAAAAGTGACAAACTGGCCATTTATTAACAATAAATTAAGATAAGGGATATTTAATATATGCAATATATATAAGCAAATAGATTTTTAAAAGTTCTTAATGTAAAACTTCAGTTGAATTATGGGTGGCACATCAAGGCTTTTGCTTTTTTTCCAAAACTTTTTGTTTGTAAACTCATCCAGGTTTCGCTAGAATAAAATCCAGTTTCTTATGAACACACTGTGCAAACACACTTCTTTACATTCCTAAGGGTCTTTAATGTACTCCCTACCTCCAGAGCAGTTTAACTAGAATCACAAAAATCAGTCCATAAGAGTCCAATCAGAACAGAAATCCATGTCTAATTAGATCAGATGTCCACAGCAGTGATGAGGTCGTCTGGTTTGAGCTGCAGTGAACGGAGGCAGATGCTCTCAGTTTCCTTCAGCTATGGTGCAGGATGGCCTTGAGATTCATCGGAGCTGCCGGATGCTGAGAAACGAGAATAAACGAGAATAAACACACATTTTAGAATATACACAACCATTTCAAAATTCATGATTACAATATAGGTGTTTCTACAATCTAAAGCAATGTTTTAGAGTAGTGTTTAACAAAGGCATTTTTACTCATGAATTGAAAATTAAGCACAGACTTTGGGGAACTCGCAGCATATTATTCATTAAGTTTTGATGTTATCTCTGCATCACTATATATGATCTTTTCTACTTACAATATGAACTGTATCAGAATTTTTTTTAAGAATTAATGGTTTATGCTTGTTTGCATTGCATTATAGCTTTCTGTTAAGAGAACTATATAAACAGTATGAGGTGATGGAGGTCACAATAGCCTACCGAAATAATAGTCATCACATCGTCATGCTCTTCCAGAGCAGCTTCTAATATAAATGACAATGATTAATCATAATAAACATGGTGGAAAACTAACAATGTACATAAATAAACTGTTCCCTTAAAATGTACCGAAAATAAGATGATAATTTTAAATGAAAAGAAAGCAACACCTGCTTTTTTTTTTTTTTTTTTTTTGGAGAATATTCCTATAATGACAACATCATCATAGCTTTCTGATGTGTCATCTGCAATGAAATAATGAACAATCAAATGCGACAATCACACATAATTAAGTATAATTAAATATGCACATTAATTAAATAAACACAAATTAAATGAAGCTCATTCCATCTGCACTGGACTCTGTTCAGCCACACAACACATTCACCAGCACCAAAGGCTGAATTCCCATCAGCCCTCAGTGCTGCTCCACAACCCAGCTGCCTGCAGACCACCTGAGCATCGCTGATGTCCCAGAGATCATCACAGACTGAGCCCCACACAGCGTTATGATACACCTCCAGCCTCCCAGAGCACCGCCGTCCCCTCCACGCAGTCTGAGAGGAACATGAGCTAAAACACACACATAATTAGTAACAACTAAATGTTTTAAACTATATTTTTTGATCAAATGCATAATACAACCTCTTAACCTGAACACTGTCTCTCGTAATGAGATGCTGAACATGTCAGATGACTCAATGTGGTGACTCAATTACAACATTTCAAATTTTGACGGTGATCGAAACATAATTTGACCATTGCTTCTTTATGTTTTGTATCTCTAATGTCCCATATTATAACACATTATTTTTTTAGTTATCAAAACATTTACATTTTGTGCACAGAATTCAATGTTTCAACAAAAGGGGTTACAACTTTCCCCTATTTCAGGACAATAATGAAAACACAAATCAACTTGAAGTTTGATTTTATTGCTTATCAGAAAACATTCAAATCAATTCAACACAATCAAACTGAATTAAAATCCAAAACAGCTACTTAAAATAATACAAACATAAAGTCTCAATATAAAAAGTGTATACATACAATGACTGATTGCCAGAAACCTCCTCTGCTTAACACAAAATGAACAATAAGCTCTGCTAGTTTAAAGGTTTTATTATATTCTTATGAAAGTCCCAATGTTCACTGTTTGTCATCATATTTCTCAAAGTACATTCCTAGGTTATTAAGCAAAATATAAAAGTCCACCACCAATGAGTCTACAGTATATTCAATGGGAATAATCTATGTTTACAATGTGAAGTTTTTGTAAAATAAGACTGGGATAATCAAAATTACGGTGTATAAAACTGATTGAATGTTAGGTGGAAAATAAATTCTACTAAATAGATACAGTATGTCTGCATGACTGAAATGAAATGACATCCTAAAAACTTCAGAAAAGAGAAAATTAAATATTTTGAAAAGGCCATAAGAGCAAGTTATGAAATTATTAAAAAGAAATCAATAAAAGAAGATTTTTTATAGTAACTATTCTTATAGTATCTTACATGTACTTATACATACTGTGTGTGTGTGTGTGTGTGTGTGTGTGTGTGTGTGTGTGTGTGTGTGTGTGTATATATATATATATATATATATATATATATATATATATATATATATATATATATATATATAAACAAAACAAAATCTGTGTGGCTGAGTTAACCATTTGCTTCCTGTTTTTCTGGTTCTTCCCCCACATCATCATAATCTGGTATTAGAAAAAAAGCAACTGAATCACAATAAGCTTTTTAAAAGTATTAGTATGAACTCCTCAATAGCAGCAGTCAATTTAAATAAGCTGTTATTATCACAAAAAATGAGAAAGTAAAAACGTACCCAATATGTCACTCACATACTCCCTTTCATCTGGATCACCATAATCCTCAGGACTCTCTAAAATACATGTTTGAACTATTAATTTAAATATTATCTGCTAGTATAATTTAGGATTTTTTTACTATATGTACACAAGTGTCATTTGAAGCACACACCTGCTTTATCATTGGAGAGTTGTCGCAAGACGATCGCATCATCATAGTTTTCTGGTACGTCTTCTATAAAAAATAATAATAATAAAAACAAATCAAATAAAACTGCATAAAAAAACTGTGGAAATAATTATTAGAAATATACCTGCACCAGAGTGTCCCAATCCAGCAGTGATTGCATCATCATAATTCTCAGACGATGCTTGTTCTTATAGATGAGTTAAGAGAAATGAAGAAATAAACAAAAAATGCTTGTATTATTGGCTATTATTTATACCTTGTTCATCACATGTAATACAAGTATCAGGTGAAGAGAACAACATGGGAATGAGAGTTGTGTTTCGGGCTGTAAATCAATTCTATGGAGTCATTATTAAGTCAACTAAGTAAAACAGGAATCACAACATTCAAATTAATTATCAAGACTTTTATTCAAAAGTCTGTTTAATTAATCTAATCTAACAACAAGTTATTACCATTCTCTGAAAATGTAAAACTAATAATCTGACTCCTTTAAGTTAAATCAGTTAAAGGCACTGACCTTCAGGGCCTTCAGTTGTAATGTCTTCATAGGAGTGAGGTGCAGATCTCACTTAAAAACAGACAAGAAAAAAGATTCAGTATTCCCTTACCTGCCTTATTGAATTATCGTGTTAAGATGAACTGCAAAAGAAAAGTTATAATTGCTTTCAAATGCAAATTAAAGTAATAAATTCACCCAAAAATAAAAAATTCTGTCAACATTTACTCATCCTCCACTTGTACCAAACCTGTTGGTGTTTCTGTCTTCTGTTGAACAAAAAAGAAGATATTTTGAAGAAAGTTGGAAACATGTACAGTAACCATTTGCTTCCATAGTATTTTTTTTCCAAATATGGAAATCAGTTGTTGCAGGTTTTTAGCTTTCATCAAAATATCTTCTTTTGTGTTCATAAAAGTATTGAAACCACTCGAGGGCGAGTAAATGTGAGTAAAGTATCCCTTTCGTAGAGTTGCTGAAGTTTGCCCTGCGCGCTTGCGTTTTTTTTAGGAACTTCTTTGGTTTGGTGCGTCAATCTTGTCAATGCTATTATTCAAGTGTGAAGTGTGAAGATAGTTATTGTGTGGTTAATGATGGATACTATAATGAGAGTGGCGGTCTAACTAATTGCACATTGTGATTAACTATGGGATAAAAGGGTGGAGTGAGAGAATTGTGTCACACACTGAGAAAGGCATTGCGCCGAAACGTCTGTGTCTTTTAATCACCCGTAGAATGTAACAGAAAGAAAAAATAAAAACAGTACAAAGCAATTACTTGAGTCTGAATCATTACCTTTTTTAAACTATCCCTTTAACATAGACTACATTTAGCTCTGTATGTAACAGGTGACATTATTATATTTCAGTCCTCTAACCTAAAAGAAGATCATCTGCATCTTCATACCCAGAATGCAGTTTTTGAGAAAGGACACTACCTGTTATGGAGGAGTAGAATCAATGAATGATATATGTGCCCCATGTGATTTATTTCTCTCATTCTCTGAATAAATTGATTACCCTGTTGAACAACACACAAGAAATTTACTTACTTCTCTGAGTAAAGACACTGTGTCCATTTTTGGGCCTTTGGTGAAGCTCTTCATAAACAGCCTCAGTGGTGATGGTCTTTTGTCTCCTCTTAGAGAGAGCTGTGAGTGTCGACACACAAACCTGCTGTCAGTTCACAACACATGACTGATCACACACTGAAGAAGACACAATATGACAGTCTCTGGATCTCTCCTACCTCTCCTCATCACTCTGTTCTGCTGAATCAGTATAAGCAGCGGCACTAAGAGCAGTAAGAGCACAACTCCCAGTACAATCACCACCACTGGGGGGACTGGATGAGTTTCTGGACCAGTTTCTGGATGAGTTTGTGGAGGAGAGACTGATGTTGAGCTCACTGTCTGAGAAACTGCAGCAGAAGATGATGCTGATGTGGCGGGAGTAGTGGACGCTGATATATCTGGTAAGTCTATTAAATCAGAGTCAAAACCAAGCAAATGACTGATTTAAATAAAAAATATATAATAATTACTAGCACTAAAATGATTAAAAAATCTGTCAGTGACCTGCACAGGTGAGTCCAGCGTGCTCTTTGTGGGAGCAGTCAGTGTGGTTGTTCAGGGAGAGAGGACAGTCCCACAGGTGAAGCTCATTCCCTCTGCACTGGACTCTGTTCAGCCACACAACACCTTCACCAGCACCAAAGGCTGAATTCCCATCAGCCCTCAGTGCTGCTCCACAACCCAGCTGCCTGCAGACCACCTGAGCATCGCTGATGTCCCAGAGATCATCACAGACTGAGCCCCACACAGCGTTATGATACACCTCCAGCCTTCCAGAGCACCGGCCGCCCCCTCCACGCAGTCTGAGAGGAACGTGAGCTGAAACACACACATCAGACATTGATGAACTGCTGTAGCAAGTTTACAGCAAAACACAGACTGAAATTACAAGTTGTAAAATTGTAATTAATTTAAACATTATTTGAATTTTATTATATCATTGATTATGACATTGAATCATTTAAGATGTCAGTCCACTGTTTAAGATGACATAAAAATGACATGTACTGTAATAAACTTACTTGAACACTGCCTCTGGTGATGAGATGAATAAGTAAAACAGGGAAGAAGACTCCTAGGAGACTCAGAACTTTCCTCCTCTGAGATTAAAACATGTTAAAATTTCAACACTTAACTGAAAATTGGAAGTTGTTTGAAGCCGTAATAACACTTTAAACAAAAATATCCACCTTATTTAAACTTAACTCAGAATGAACTTGCCTGTGCAGGTGATCACAGCCACCTCATTATTACTGTCAGTCAGTCTCCAGGGTGCAGATGGACACTGCCATAAAGTAAAGTCATGTGGTCGACATTTAAAATAATCAAGCCAATTATGAGACTTCAGTCCCTCTGAATGACTGGGCTCATTGCTAGATCTTCCACAGTTCAGCTCTTGACAGATCAGACTCGCTGTGTCTCTGTCCATCTGATTCCAGCACACATTTCCCCAGGATCCATTGTAGAAAACCTCCACATTCCCTTCACAGCCCTCAGTTAACCTGATCTCTTTATACTCTGGATGGAAAAGTGATAACTGTAAACCAAACATTTGTTTTATACACTGGACATGACATAAACTGTATGTGAAGTATATTGTTCACCAGAGCAGACGACTCCTACATCCTCCTTGTGTTGACAGTCATGTTTTCCCCAGCCTGGAGAAGAGCAGCTCCACAGGGACGTCTCATTCCCCTCACACTCCACCTCATCCAGCCATATGGGTCCAGAACCAGGACCAAACCAGGCTGGTACCTGCTGGTTACTGAGGGCCACTCCACACTGCAGCTGTCTGCACACCACATGGGCATCTTTAATATCCCAGGAGTCGTCACACACTGTCCCCCATGAGCCGCTGTGAAAAACCTCCAGCCTCCCTGCACAGTCTCCCCCAGAACCCACCAGCCTGATGGACCCGCGGCCTGATATTCAGAGAAAGAGAAACACATTATTGATCAGGAACAACTCCAGAATCTGCCCAGATGTTGTTGTTCTCACCAAGGCAGGTGATTGACAGCTGTTGTGTGGAGCTGCAGTTGAGAGTTTGTGGAGAGCTGCAGTTCCCCAGATGAGCTTCACTCCCAGAGCACTGGAAGCCCATCACACACTCATGACTGTGTTCAGGACTGGATGAAGAGGAGCCGGAGAAGTTGAGCACAGAGCCACAGCCCAGCTGTCTGCAGACCACAGAGGATTCAGTGAGACTCCAGGAGTCCAGCAGAACCTTCCTCCATACCTGCTGGATCAAAACTTCCACCTGTCCCTCACACTGTCTCTCTCCAGACAACCGCACCAGACCCTCATGAAGAGCCAGAGACGAGTCTGAAGATAAACATGAGGCAGTTTATTAAGATATTAATACAAGTAATTTATTAAATTTATTCTAATAAAATGTCCTCACTAGAGCAGATGACTCCAACATCTCGTCTATGAGAACGTTCAGCTCGACTCCATGAAGAGATTGAACATTCGGAGAGTTTTGTTTCATTCCCGTCACAATTAAACACATCAGCCCAGATTTCACCACTTCCCTCTCCAAACCAGTCTGATCCCACAACAGACACAGCAATCCCACAATTCAGCTGTTTACAGAGGACACTGGCAGCTCTCATATCCCAGCATGCATCACATACTGTGCCCCATTTACTGTAGTACTGACGTTCAACTCGACCAGAACAGGAGTCAGGACCATTGACCAGTCTGAGATCAGTGTAACCTAGACAAAAAACAAAGGGATTAGAAACAAAGTGTAATGCAGTTTACAGAAAGAGATATACTTTACGAAAAAAAGACATGGTAAATTGATAGTTAACTAGAACAGATTAATCCGACAATGTTTCCATTGGTACAACTGTCTTTGAGAGAAGATGATGTTGGACAGAAAAATATATAAGACTCGTCTCCTGTGCAGTGAATCGCTTGTGTCCACATCTGAGCGTCTCCTTTGTCAAAAGCAGCAGCTCTCAGCACCTGTACAGGAGCCCCACAGTCCAGCTCTCTACACACAACCTCTGCATCCTGCTGGTCAAAGGCAGCATCACACACTGACATCCAAGTGTTCCCATGAGCCACCTCTAACCTCCCAGAGCACAGGTGAGATCCATTGACGAGCCTGGAATGTTTATGACCTGTTCATATAAAATTAAATAAAAATTAATGTTCAAAAACGTTAGATTCTTTAAGATTTTGTTAAGTTATGCCAATTTGTACAAAAAGGACACATTAATCATCATATCAGGTTAACTTTCCACTCTAGTGGAAAATACATATTACATGTTGATACAACATATAAGATGTTTTCTCTCTTGTAAATAATAAGGCTAGATAATTAGGCTTAATTAGGCTAGATAATGGATGTGTGTTTTTGTAATAATCACAAACAACAGTCTACTGTGAAAATGTGACATGACTGCTTAGTGAACTTATTGACCTGAACAAATGACTCCAGCATCTTCATTGTGAGCACACACAGGTTTACCCCATGCCCATGACCCACAGTTCTTCAGTGTTGACTCTGATCCAATACACATCGGAACTGACATCAAGGTTGGTCCAGATCCTGGTCCAAAATAAGCATCACCCAAAACATCTACAGGTTCTCCACAGTCCAGTTCTCTACACACAACTGCAGCATCAGCCAAATCCCAGAACATGTCACACACAGTTCCCCACTGACCTCGATGAAGAACCTCCACTCTACCAGCACAGGGACTGTTCCCATCAACCAATCTCACTTTTAAACTTTCTGCACATTGAACAGAGAAAATAAGATGAAACAGATTTAACAAAATGACAACATTGCATTTTAATAACATTTGCTCAACAAAAAAAGGTTAATTCCAACCTGCACAAAGCAGTTCAACACTATTGTCATGTGAACAGTTGTTTTCCTCTGCTGGTGACGTTGGACAGAGGTGAATCTGACTCTCATTTCCTGTGCAGTGAATCTCTTGTGTCCACATCTGAGCGTCTCCTTTGTCAAAAGCAGCAGCTCTCAGCACCTGTACAGGAGCCCCACAGTCCAGCTCTCTACACACAACCTCTGCATCCTGCTGGTCAAAGGCAGCGTCACACACTGACATCCACGTCTGATCATGAAGAATCTCTAACCTCCCAGAGCAGCGAGAACCTCCAACCAGCCTGACCTCTGATAAAAAAAGAAAAAATAACGCTAGAAATTCTGCTGGATGTTGGTAACAATCAAAGAAATCAATATATGTAAAGAAAACAAGATGAAATGACACAGGGAAAAAGTATTAAACCCATGAAGTAAGGGAGGCTTAGTTTAGATTAGTAGCTAAACTTTAAAGCTTTATTAATCCCCCTGGGGCCATTTAATCTGTAAAATCAAGCAGTAGAATGTCCCAGCAATAACTTGTATCCTATAGAAAATACAAAATAAAGCTCAGATTTGACAGACAAGACTCAAAGAACCATCAAGATTTTTTGGAGTCTCTGAAAAACTCAAACCTGAACAATGCATGTGACTTTTGTTCTCCATATGAGCGGTGTCTTTAAGCTGCCATCACCAAAAAGTCTTTTATTTAAAGTATTAAATACAGTTCAGTGGTTCAGCACCCTCTCCTTCTGTCATTTCATTGTTATTACACAACATTTTTTTTAGATTTATTTTGTTTTGTTTTATTTTTATGCTTGTATTGTTTGGGTTTTTACCAAAATCTGGTTAGTTTCCATGTCAACAACTCCTTAGAAATATTATTCCCAGGAAAAAAACATGACGTGTTTAATACCTATTTACGATACTTATTTTACAAACGTGCATATATATAGTATATATAAATTTTACAAACATGCATATATATATATATAGTATATATAAATTTCAAATATATTTTCTACATAAGTAATTACATTGGGCCCTATATGTCGAGATGTACCCAGCCTTGATTTGTATGCCTACATAAGCAAAATGTGTAATAAACCATGCAAATAACATTAACAACATTTAAATTTTTAACAAAGATTTCCATTAAATTTTTTATAAAAGGAAAATCAAAATAAACAGTCTTTTATACCAATAAGACAAAATGTTTGAGTATTTGAGGATCATGTGACACTGAAAATTAAAGTCAAAATGATTGAGTCGAAAAGATTCAAAATGACAAGAAAAACACTTTTTAAAATGTATTCATAAAAAAAAGACCAAATTGATATTATTCTGTTCTCTGTATTATTATTAAAACAAATGCATTTGAAAATATGAATTTCAAAACCATCTCCCCTTTTTAGACTGTGTTTATTACATATTTTATTTTTTATTTATTTATTTATAAAAATTGGTTGATTAAAGGCAGGTCGTAAATAGGTTTAGAGCAGTTTACCTGAGCAGATGACTATAGCATCTCCACTATTTGCAAGCTCACAGCTTGCAAAACGCCTTCCTGTTCCACAGTTCTTCAGTGTAGACTCTGATCCAGTACATGTGACAAAACCTATCCAGGTTGGTCCTGATCCTTTTCCAAAGTAAGCACCACCCAGAGCATCTACAGGTTCTCCACAGTCCAGTTCTCTACACACCACTGCAGCATCAGCCAAATCCCAACAACTGTCACACACTGTTCCCCACTGACCTCTGTGATAAAACTCCACTCGACCAGCACAGCGACTGTGACCATTTACAAGTCTAACATTGACATGGTCTACATATTAAAAAAAAGAATGAAGATATTATAAATAATATTATGAGATGATTAAGATGTTTTATTGTTATAAGGCAAACACACACACATGCACACACGCACACGCACACACGCACACACGCACACACGCACACACACACACACACACACACACACACACACACACACACACACACAAAGGAAATTAAATCTAACCTGCACACACCAGCCCAACTGTGCTGATATCTAAACAGTTGTTTTTCTCTGCTGGTGACGTTGGACAGAGGTGAATCTGAGACTCATTTCCTCTGCAGTGAATCTCTTGTGTCCACATCTGAGCGTCTCCTTTGTCAAAAGCAGCAGCTCTCAGCACCTGTACAGGAGCCCCACAGTCCAGCTCTCTACAAACAACCTCTGCATCCTGCTGGTCAAAGGCAGCATCACACACTGACATCCACGTCTGATCATGAAGGATCTCTAACCTCCCAGAGCAGTGAGAACCTCCAACCAGCCTGACCTCTGATAAAAAAGGAAAAGAAAATTAACATTTAATAATACTATTAATGTATTAACATCATGCAAAGCCACTTAATAGTAATAGCTTTATATTAAAACATTTGTTGATACTGTATATAATTTTTGTTCAGAAATGTTCATCATAAAGTATGATCAATTATGCATTAAAGTACATTTTAAAGAGTTCCAGTCTTTAAACCTTCACATTTAATTTAATGTGTTATCTGCCTTTTTATGTTATTTAATTGTGAAATTTATAAACATTTCCTTTGTGAAATCTAATTAAAATTAATATATATAAAAATGGAGTAAAAGTATAATTCTTGTCAGTTCATGAAATCTAATGTTAACAAATGTAACCTCATAATAGGCCGTTTTTTTGTGCTAATGGCTTGTGCAAATGCAGCATGACTGTTTAGTGTATTTACTTCAAATTATTTATATTATTAAATTTATCTTAATTACCTGAACAAATGACTCCAGCATAATTACCGTAAGAACAGCCAGATTTACGCAATTCTAATGACCCACAGTTCTTCAGTGTTGACTCTGATCCAGAACACATGACAGAACTCATCCAGACTAGTCCTGATCCTGGTCCAAATTGAACATCACGCAGAGCATCTACAGGTTCTCCACAGTTCAGTTCTCTACACACCACTGCAGCATCAGCCAAATCCCAACCATCATCACACACTGTTCCCCACTGACCTCTATGAAGAACCTCCACTCGACCAGCACAGCGACTGTGACCACCAACCAGCCTGACATTTTCTACATTTCGAACAGAAAGAATGAAAGTTGTACAGATTTTAAAGAGAAGAAAAAATTAGTAAATACAAATACAAAATATTCAGTTAATATTAGCACCCTTTGTAAGTAAAACAAGCAGTGAAAAAATGTATTCATTTAACATATTGTCAAAATTGACTTTTAATTAAAGCAGACTTATTCACACAGTCTTTATTAAAAGTATCAATTTTAAAAGGGTGCAAAAAATAATGTCACAATTATTAGCTTTTCTAAGAATACTCATGAGTAGGGCCAGATGGAATCTGCAAACGTTTTGTGCTATTTCTGCAGAGAATTTTGGTAAAAATCTGTAGATTTCTGCGGAATTGTTTTGGGAGTATCATAACTAAAACCGTAATATATGAACTAAAAAATAATATATTTCTAACTTTTATTTAATGTTCAAAATGCAAATCCAATTAAATTCACTTTATTTGGTAAAAAAGAAAGTCTCTCATATAACATATCTACTAAAAGACAGAAAATATTACTGTACAAACTGCATTGTACATAAATCAGATGACCATTTTCATATTAATCAATAATATTACTAAAATTCATTTAAAAACTGAATAAATATAAATTTACACACATTTACTCAAGTAAATAAACAGAATTAATGATGGGCTAAATATCTGTGGAAATCTGCTAAAAATCTGCGGAATTCTGTGCACGCAGATTATGTGTGGGCCTACTCATAAGTAAAAAATCTACATGAATAATATTTTCTTTCATAGTGCACATTTTAAATGTTTTCCAAGTGTCTAATTTTTACTTTGTGTTAGGGAAAAAAGTCTGTCTTAATTGGGACTAAATATGTCCAAATTATTTTGGATATTTCATGTTAAGATCCATCTCTATCAGAGAACAGAGTAATTATGTGTTAAGAAGATATCACATTTGTAAAGGAATGATTTCTCATGGCAATTAAATAATCCCAAAAGATTATTTATGCTCAGGGGCAGTAAGTATTATGAACAATAATCTACATATTCACAACTTATTGTGGACGTTCTTTACGTAACCTGTCTGGTTTTTCCGCATTCTGAGTGGGATTTCCACTCCGTCTTTCCAAACTAACAGGAAGGCTGAAGACTACAAGTGAAGACTACTGTGGATGCAAGAGGAATCTGTCTGAAACAAATGTCAGGGTGCTAACCTGGATTGTATACAAGAAACATAAAACCACAGTTGCCCATTTCACTGTGAAGTTAATGATGCACCTCCACTCGCCTGTTTTCACCAAAAAATGGACCTTCACAGGGTCAATATACATGGCAGGCCTGTTATAGCCAAACCTTTCACTTATGCCAATGACAATGTCAGGTTCAGTGGTGCCAGCTGCAAATAATATTGGGCTGTGGAAAACGTAAAACATGTATTGTTCTCTCATGAGTCCACCTTCACTGACTTTCCTACATTTTGGGGAGTATTGAAGGAGCAGGTTAGGAAATGTTTTCCTCCACCAACATCACATAGTGACCTGGCCACTATTCTGCAAGAACAGCTCAAAGTCTCTCTGGCCACTGTGCAGGACCAACCCAAGACCAACTAATGGTGAATTGGCTGCAAAAGGAAGCACTACATCAAACTAATGAATTATTGTGGTCGTAAACCAGGCATTTCACTTTCATTGTGCAACCCCTCTATATCACTGTAAAAATCTGTTCTCATAAACCTAATTTTTGTCTAAAAATGGTATTAAGCTATTTTTTTGTGAAACTTTTGAGGATGAAAGAGAAAAGAACATCAAGAAGACCAAGAGAAAACAGACATTTTTCCACAACCTATTTTGATCATATTTACCAAGGATACCAATATTAGTGAAGAACACTGTAGAATCTTAATTCATTGTCAGTCTACAGATTTAAATGTAAATAATATGGAAATGATTGTCAACCTGCACAAACTAGTCCAACACTGTAATGAGAACTGTTATTTTCCTGTGAAGGTGATGTTGGACAGAGGTGAATCTGAGACTCATTTCCTGTGCAGTGAATCTCTTGTGTCCACATCTGAGCATCTCCTTTGTCAAAAGCAGCAGCTCTCAGCACCTGTACAGGAGCCCCACAGTCCAGCTCTCTACACACAACCTCTGCATCCTGCTGGTCAAAGGCAGCATCACACACTGACATCCACGTCTGATTATGAAGGATCTCTAACATCCCAGAGCAGCGAGAACCTCCAACCAGCCTGACCTCTACAAGAACAAAGATCATTTAAAAAGTGTTAAAAAAAAAAGTAATTTATGTGAAGTTGTTAATAACAACAGGTACTACGGGTGTACAAGAAGAAAAACGTTCATCAAACATCCACATTACTGGAATTCTTATAAAAAACAAAGATCATGAAGATGCGTAAAAAGAAAACCATGGCTACACTTAACACACTTGTATACCCTAATTTGTTAATAGAAATTAGTTAAGCGTAACCCTGAATACAGTTTAAGTCAGAATTATTAAACTGCAAAATTATTTAACCTTTAAATAGTTTTTCTTTTTTTTAAATATATCAAAAACAGAGCAAAGGAATTTTCACAGTATTTATGATAATATTTTTTTAAATTCTTTTTTTATTAAAATAATATATATATATTTAAGGTAAAAATTATTAGCCCCTTCAGGCTATATTTTTTCCCGGGCAACAGAACAAACCATTGATATACAATAACTTGCTTAATTCCCCTAACCTGCCTAGATAGCCTAATTAAACTAGTTAAGCCTTTAAATGTCACTTTAAGCTGTATAGAAGTGTCTTGAAAAATATATGAAACAAGTTATTATAGATATTATGTTTAGAAATGTGTTGAAAAAATCTTCTCTTCGTTAAACAAAATTTAGGGAAAAAAAACAAACAGGGACTGTTTCAACTGTATGTGTCTACATTAAGCATTTAAGCCACAGGCAGCAACAACATATTCATATTTATTTATTAGTTCATTTTAATTATAATACACTTTTAACCAAGACATTAAAAACAGTAAAACTGTATTTTTAAATGTATTTATTTATATCAGAGCTAAGTTCACCTGAGCAAATGACTCCAGGATCTTTAGTATCACAAGGTCTTCGTTTACCCCATCCATCTGCCCCGCAGTTCTTCAGTGTTGACTCTGATCCACTACACATGGCCCTATTTATCCAAATTGGTCCTGGTCCTGGTCCAAAAGGAGCATCACCTAGAGTATCTACAGGTTCTCCACAGTCCAGTTCTCTACACACCACTGCAGCATCAGCCATATCCCAGCCAATGTCACACACTGTTCCCCACTGACCTCTATGAAGAACCTCCACTCGACCAGCACAGCGACTGGTACCATTCATCAGTCTCACATTAACACCAACTGTTTGAGCAAAAGATAAATAACAGACCAAGAAAGGAGCTAACAAAACTAAAAAAGGGGGAAGATAGAGGGGATAAAGGAAGAAAAAATTAGCTCTAATATATAAATGCACAATATAAAGATAATATAGGAAAGTTAGATATCAGTCAGTCGCAGTATATATATTATTTCATAAAAACAAACATTTAAAAACATGAACTTTAATTATTTCCACAATTAAATTAAAAGAATAAACCTACCTGCATTGATGAATTTTATCAGAAACATGAGAATTAGGTATCTACTCATCATCTTCTGTTTGGTACTCATAATCTGCTCAGACATCAGCAAATGGTCTCTGTTGCTCCCTCAAACACACTAAAGAAAGTGGCTCCTGTTAGACTCCTAAAGAGAAACGCAAGCCCCAAAACTTTCCAATCAAGTTCATCATTACCTTATTAAACAGAACAGAGGAAATCATCAAACAACCTCAGCGACAAATCAGAGGAGGCATTTCTGATGTTCACCATATTTATAAAAAGAACGTCATCAGTGAAAATTACTACTCCTCCTCTCCCATATAGAGATGCTTCCTTGAGCGCTCACACACACACACACATGCACTTACACATACTGTATACACACCAGATGCAAAAATTGCCACAAACCAAGCAGAAGACTTTGAAGATTTCAGAGAGAGGAAGGATATTTACAGCATCAGAATCAGAACACCTGCTGAAAGACACACACTGATCAGAGTGCATTTAAAAAGACATTATGATAATTTCAAACATCTTCAACTTTAAATTAACACACACGTAAATTTAAGATCGGATCTAGACTTACCATAAAACATAAAAACATAATTTGGTCTCAAAATGTATGTTTTAATTATTTTGGAATAACATTTTAGCAGAGTATTTAAATCAAACTGCATATATTAGTGTTTCATGTTTATTGTTAGAAAATTGCCAATTACATATAATAATTGAGCATTAAACAACAACAAAAAATATAAGAATTGGTCATTTCATTCATTACACAATTTAGCAGCCTTTGTGTTGAATTTGGCAATGCTCTTGTTACACACAAGATGGCAGCAAAACATTGGTTATTCTAAATATAGGGTGGCAAAGCATCCTTGCAAAATCTGCAACAGGTCTATCTTCCAATAGAGGGCAGTAAACACTGCAAACCAGCTGTAAAGCATTTTGTCATTTATGTTTAAATGTAAATCCTATCAAAGTTTAATGCAGAAATCGTTTATTGAAATGGTTTACTTAAAATAAAAATCTAACTATTTTTTTCTGGTTGAACATACATTTTTATTGTGTTAAAATGTCTTGACAAAAAGCCTGATATTAAACAAAATGATCATCAAGACATCAACAAACATAATAGTGCTTCAACAAAGGGTTGGGGATGAGTGATGGAGAGATTGAACATTTTATTTACAGTCATCAAAACTGCTGATAGATCAACAATAAATTAAAAGGAGGCAAATTTAACATATGCAAAATGACCATTTAGGTTTTTTTCAAAGTTCTTTATAAAAAATAAAAAAAAACATCAGGGGTGCGATATCAAATCCAAAAGGCATTTTTGTTGCAGTTTATGTACTGTGAATGCATCCAGGTCAGTGCTCTCAGAAAAAAACAACAACATCCAAATCCTCATAAACACACTTCTTCTTTGTCTGTGCATTGTAGAATTCTTTACATTCTTTATGGTTTCTTCACTACCTCCAGAACAGTCAGTTCAAGTTTAACCAGATCCACCAACATCAGTCCACAAGAGCCGAATCGGCACAGAAGTCCATGTCTATAAGATCAGACATCCACAGCTGAGTGTGATCATGTGGCAGTGGCTCTCAGACCCTGTTTCTGCATGACGTTCCAGAGCTTGTGGAGGTTGGACTGAGTGATAAGGTCATCTGGTTTGAGCTGCAGTGCACGGAGGTAGTTGCTCTCAGCTTCCTTCAGCTTCCCATTGAGGTGCAGGATGGCACCGAGATTCATCAGAGCTGCCGGATGCTGGAGAACAACAAAGAGAGATATTGAAAGAGAGAAAAAGGATACAGACAGTTATAAAATTAAGGAAATAATGTGCAACAAATCAGGTAATCATAAGTAGGGACAGATGGAATCTGTGGACATTTTTTTGCTATTTCTGCGCAGAATTTTGTTAAAATTAGAGTTATTTTGGGAGTATCATAACTAAAATCTTAACATATAAACTAAAAGTAATACCTTTTTAACTTGTATTTAATGTGTACTATGCAAATCCAACTAGATCCACTTTATTTGGTAAACGAAGCATATATTATCTATAATAAAAGACAGAAAATATGACTGTACAAACTGTATTGTAAATAAATCATAACAACATGTGTTGTTGTGTTAGTCAATTGTGTTGTGTTAGTCAATAATTGTACTGAAATTAATTTAAAAACTGAATCAATATAAATGTACACACATTTACACTAGTAAATGAACAGGATCAATGATGGGCAAAAAATCTGTAGAAATCTGCGCGCACAGATTCCGTGTGGGCCAAATCACAAGTTTGCAAAAAAACTAAACACATTTACTGTAAATGTTCAGTAATTCTGCAAGTTAACTTCATATATAACATGTAATAAAATGGCTAAGGAAGCTACTTACATCAGGTCTTAAAACAGCTGCTTTGCCATAATATGTTTCAGCTTCCTCATTAAGACTGGCCTGTCTGTAAACAAACACACATACACACATTATTAAAGCCTTTAATTTAAAATCACAGTAATAAAATAGCACAATAATATGACAATAACCATGGCTGACTATTATTATTAGCAAGAGAACGCATTTGACAACAACTTATGTTTAAAATAATAAAATCAATTATTATACAAATTATTATGTTTTGTGATCAACAATGACAAATTCATCAACTTGACAATACTCAAGCCCACAAAAAAATATCAATTTAACTGTAAATTATAATGAATAATTATTAACATGATTTGTTAAGTATTTCACAGTGATAAGAGTGTTTATAGGAATAAGAATGATGGTAAAAATATGATTTTTACATCTGTAACTTGCTAATTATTATAAATATGATTCAGGACTCAACATAATATGGAGTGCCCAATGGCCAGCGTGAGAGATGCACAGGACTGTAGACAGAATCGTTACTGGCCCGATCGGTGCAGTGCTGCCTTGTTAGTAAATTTTAATAGTTGGCAACATGACCGCAACATCAAATCATGAAGCTAAAAGAAAACGTCTGTTTCTAACATTGTGGAAACATTTACATGGGTACAACACAACGAAATAATTCAAGTGATGTTTTGCAAAGTTTGCCGTTTTTTTGGTAGGGCCAGTGAAAAGTTTGGCAGGGCAGGTAAAATCTGAACCACTGGTCCAACTGGGCCAGTAGAAAACATCCTTAGTGTTAAACCCTGTGATTAATAATGTGATACAGAGACAATGATGAAGTTC